TGCTCCTCCCCATTTTCACTTACCGGTGGTGAGTCTGACATTGTGGAAAAATTGCAAATCTTCGTTTGGAAAGTAAGCTTGTATTGGCGATGCAAACAGCAACTTTTAAACAGAGCGTGCATGAGGAGAAATGGTCTGCTGTAAGCTCTCTCACACGTTTAATAGGCGTTCCCTTTCAGGAGTGGGTACAGGGTTGTGCATGTGCATTTTTTTTCTAAAGTGGAGAGGGTGGGTCTTTTAAAAAATTCACAAAGATTCTCCACAATACCTTTAAGTCTTTTACAGCCTTCAACATGTTACTTCCCACGATTACCAGGTGCTTACTCTAGCTCTACCCGTCTTTACATCACTTCCAACCAGCCTCCCTGTACCTGGGAAAGAAAAGTTTCGCTCAAGCACTGTGCTGCCAACACCATGTTTCAACATGACGATGGTGAGTTTGGAATAATACTCAATGATGATTTAGTTTTAAAATTGTATTTGCGCATTTTGAAAACCATGCATCAGGTTGTGACAATCTATCACACATGTTGTATACAGAATTGCAATTGGTTTTGTTTTAATGTGCAAAATATAAAAAGGCTAACAGGGTTTAAATGTCTTTGTAAGTTACTGTAAATAACTGGGTTAGAGCTCAAATCAGGTCAGACTGCCATTTTTCAAAACAACAAACAGTAATGAATAATTTAGCTTCGCAAATGCTTTGGATAATTAAAGTTTTTACTCAACATGTTATATTATGCAACACACATACATCTAAACTAGGGGAAGCAATGAGCGTGCTGCCGGGCATGGCACCGCACATCAGAAGTGGCAAAGTAATTAATATTTCACCCACTCATTTCACATCAGTGCCACAAAAACACAGTTGCAAAAATCAGTCACTCATCAGAAGTCACAGCCACAGAGCTTCAGTGGGGAATGATTACACGATATCTTTTCTCATTTCTCTTCAAACACAATGCAGAAAATGCTGTTTTCCAGATACTCCATGGTCAACATTGCATACCACATCAATGAAACATCCTGTGTTTGAATCTGGTGCCTGACCTTTGTCACGTTAGGGAGAGCAAACTTCCACTACCGAAGGAAATCATCCCTCAAAAATAATTCATGACAAAAGACATGGAGACATAATGGAAGCCTCAATATTTGCCCTCAAACAGTGTCATGCAGCAGTCAATTTTTTAAACTTTCCCTCAGCCCAGTCCAGCGTGTTTATGTTCTCTAAGGCATTCTGCCAGCTGCCCACTTACATTCATTCTCACACAGTAAACAGATGAACAATAAGAGCTGTACAGTGTTACAGATGCTTGAAACAGAATATGTGTTAACAACTGAAAGATTGGCACAAATGACCTTTTCTAACCCGAGAATTCCTCAACCCAAACACGTCAGGGTTGCTGTACAGAAACCGGAAGGAAAACCCTTCAAAAATCGGACATGGGCTTTTAAAAAAAGATTTCCAGGGAAATGGATGAATAAACAGCCTCTACAGAATGTGTTTCAGAAAACATTTCACGGCTACATATCAGTTATATGTGTAGCACTAGAGAAGTGTAGCAGACGCGAGGGCACTGGACTGGTGTCCCAATCAAAAACGTTCCAATGATCAATCTTGACATAACTGAACAGTCATAAATCTTTTGGTAAATGGTAAATGGCCTGTACTTATATAGCGCTTTTTCAAGTCAGGAGACTTGACCAAAGCACATTACACTACATTCAGTCATTCACCCATTCACGCACACACTCACACACTTATAGTGGCAAGCTACACTGTAGCCACAGCTGCCCTAGGGCTCACTGACAAAAGCGAGGCTGCCATACAGTGGCGCCACCGGGCCCTCTGACCATCATCAGTAGACAATGCAGGTGAAGTGTCTTGCCCAAGGACACAACGACACTGAAAGTCAGAGCCGGGGCTTGAACCGTCAATCCTTCGATTTCAGGGTTAACTCCTACATCCGACACCACTGTCTGCTTTTTTTTTTTTTTTTTTTTTTTTATATTAGACAAAGCCCCAGTCAGCAGAATTTAGCACTGCTTACATTTAAAATTATCGGCTAGTTTATACTTGCATGGCTTGTAAAACTCCTTTAAGACTCTCAATGCCGCTTTGTCCATTTGATTAATCTTGGTCCACAGAGGAATTTTTAACCTAACCTTGCCATTCACAGTGGCAGAGAGACTGTTTTGGCTGTTGCATCTTATTGTCTGTATAATGTAACCTGATCGGCTCGATGTGTCAAGACAACTGCAGAGGAAGCAAAGCACCACAACACAGCATCCAAAACACTAACCATTGCATTTTGTACTGAGTATTGAATATGTGTGAAGTGGAAATGAAACTAAATTTTTAAGTTTTGTCACCATACTACTAACTGAAACCACAAGAAAATAGGTTATAAACAGAATGATAAATTATATCATATCACAAAAAACAAGTTAAACTAGCTCTTAAAAAAACTGGTTGCAAACAATGTTGGCAGAAGAAAAATAAGCATTTTTACTATATGTGTCAATTCAGAAACCCCTTTTATAAAACAATAAAACCAAGTTGTAGACTTACTAGCCTATTAACTATGTTAAACCCATACTGTAGCAAAATACAATAATATGGTGACATCAAATAAATTCCTGACACCGCTGCACACTATTATTGAGAACATGAGCTCATTCAGCCAAACACAAAAGCTCCATTGATCTGACAAGACTTTGTTTCAAAATATCCCCTTAATTTCCTCATACCTCATAGCAAGACAGGAAACAGCAGGCTTTACAGACTCTAACTTAGCTACAGTGACAATGGAAAAGAAAAAGGAGGATCTACTGCAAGCTTTTTGCCAACGCTGTCATACTAAGATGAGGTTCGTAGCTTAATCATGAGCCGAGTTACCAACAGGAAACAGCAACATGTGGACAGAACTGTTAAGGGGAGAAAACAAATTAATGTAAAAGGCCAGCAACCTGTGTTCTTTATAGAGCTCCAGATGATTTGCTCACACCGAATATGATTCCAGATAGTTTTTCATCTGCTGTTGCCCGCTTGACATTTCACCAGCAATACCTGTGCCTGACAGTGTTTTTAAGTCAGAAGAGAAGAGCTTATATCGCAGTTTGCCATTTTTGACTCAACATAGCGGACCTAGATTTCACTGAGCGAGTTGTGAATAAAAATTTAATTTGAAAAGCCAAACGAGAGCTGGAGTGAGTGTCCCTGTGTCTGCCATAGAAGCTTCCAGTTCGCGGTGTCCAGGACCTACAGCTGTGAGGAGGTGCTCTGGAGCTCAGACAGGGGCAGAGGTGGCGGGCAGCCAGGGCCTAGTCTGGAGTTAAGGGAGGACAACGAGAGGCACGAGGCATGGCAGAGAATGAATCAGAGCCAGGCACAGAGGCCATGGCTGGCTGGGACCAGATCTGGAGCTACAATTAAAATGTTGAGGGTTAGAAGAGAGGGGAGAGACATTAGGCAAAGGTCAGTAGGAACGGGATTCGAAAGTCTGACAGCCGGTATGTGGATCATGCGCTCTACCTCCACCTCATAGTAGCACAACCTGTCTTCAAATTTTACAGAAAGCTTTTTTCTTCCCTGTCCTTCACCTACCACAAACCATAATCCAGTCCCTGATTGGTTGACACAACACAAGTTGACAGAAAAGCTTGTAATATCCAACTCCAATTAAAGCGTTTCGCGTCCATTGCAGGGTTTTTTTTACGCTCTGACTTTGCTGTACTCACAGTGTGCATCGCTGAAAATTTGCATCCCTTTACTCCTGAACGCCTCTTCAAAGGGATAAGATGTAAATCAATTGCTCCCTTAAAGTCGTTCATGTTCAGTTTGAAAGCACCAAATTAAGCCAGAACCAAAGCCAAGACAAAGTGAAAATCTAAAATTAGATGATCAAATGCTCTTAAGTTACTAAATCATAAATTTTGACCAGGTATGAAGGGCTCTCCGACTCTTCAGATCAGAAAATCTAGGTGCCAACAATTATTAGCTCCAAATAACATGCCAATCTCATAAAATAAATCTAAACAAGTATAAAAAAGGAGGTTTCATGGAGGTACCCAGCATTCAGCTATTATTACTTAGCAATCAGCTGATTGTAATTCTATCAGGATTGGCCTGCTGTACAGTAAACAAAGCTTCTTACTGCTTACAGTCATCATAATCCATTTAACCCATTAGCCTTCAGCTGTATTTAAAAATTACTCACTGAGCACCAATCAAGTTTAGCCCAGCAGAGCAGATAAAGGAGAGAATTAATCAGCAACCTTTTTGCAATATAAACGAGTCTAAAACCGGCCTACAAATCTAAATCATCTGACTTTTTTTTTTTTTTTATAGAATATTTTTTAACAGCATGCACAGCGATTTATGTTTGTGCTGCACATAAGCTAAAAGGGCTACGGATTAAGAGCATATTTCTTTTTAATGATGAAGCACAAAGCACTAGGAGGCAGTTCTGAAACTCTCACAAGTCTTTTGAAGCTTCCACTAGTCAGTCCCACTGATTTGATAGACTGCTCTCTTTTTCTCCTTGTTTGCTAAGAAGCTTTCTGAAGGTCTGAGCTTAGAGAAGGCTAATAGCTGAGTGGCACTGAAAGCTTATTTAAGACTAGATCATATTTCATTAAGGCTGAACCTAATGATCTCCTCCTATAGTGCACTTGGTCACAAAAGATGAGTGTACTCACCAGGACGACAAAACATAGGCTCTCAAAATGCATTCATAAAATGCTGATGACTGGAGAACAGCTGCAAAGCCTCAAACATTAGGCCACAGCAAAGTCTGCAGCTGTCAAACTGTCAGGTTCAATCTAATAAAGGAAGGCTAACCATAACAGGGCATTGATTTCAGCTGGCAATCTTTTGAAAGTGACAGGAGGAAGACAAAGCTGCTGGAGGTTGAATTTGACATATATGTTGCTCTTAATCGGCGACACACTACATATTTAGATCTTCAACAACACCATGTAATAATATCTTACTGTACCCAAAGGAGGCAGACTTCCACTTGCGACAGGGGATGACCCTTCTGCAACCTTCGGATCCTAATCTCCCGGGATTTTGTGTGGCTTCAACCGGCAGTGATGCATGCCTCCTACGGAAGGACAAACAGAGTCACAGCACCACACAAACCTGTAAACAGGTGACAGCAGATGTGAGGGGGGTAATAATTATGGTGTAAAACAACCACTTGGAAATAAAGCATTGATTTTCCCCTTAGAGAATGGCATCTAAAACTATAAGGTATATAAGTAAAGAAATGTTTTCAAGTATGACTACAATCAACCTTTAAACTGTGGCTGTGACCGGCTCTTTCTTTTCACCATGTACTACTAGCTAGTATTCCATTTACTGTGGCGCAATATCAAAAATGTTGTTTTTCTACATGTATATTTCTGCAGCTTCCTCTAATCTCCCTCTGTGAAAAATCTTTCCACCTCTCAGAGCAGACTGGACTGAATTGTCAAAGTTGCTAAATATATGTATATGCATATCATCTAGTCCCAAAAAGGTAAGAAAACAGGCAAGTATTATTAACAAAGGTTTTAAGAAGTAAAGCAACCTTTTTTTTTTCTCTTTTTTTTTTTTAAATACTGTTTTTAAAGTATCAGGCCAGCAGCCATCAAACACTAACAACAGAGCTGCAGCCCAATTACTTTAGAACTAGGCTTGGCCCAATATCAGATTAAGGAATTCCAAAGTTGAAATTAAAACCTCAGTAGATCATCTATATTAATAATAATAATAATACATTTTATTTAACAGCGCCTTTCTGGACAACCAAGGTCACTTTACAGAGAATAAAAATACAAAAATACAAATACAGGAACATAAAAACAGTTATAGGGAGGGACAAGAGTAGTGTATGTAATACATTTATTAATTACCAATGCAATTTCCTGTTAACACTATTAATTTAGCAAGTGTTATTTGTGAATATTTAAAATTCTAAATTGAAAAGGTAAAGGGCTGTCTGAATAAAAAAGAATTATCTAGTCTGTGGAGCCTGTAGGTGCAGGGGAAGTGGGAGACCATCAAAATGCCTTTGACTGCCTGAAAAGTTCCACCTCCTCTGGGTTTCAAAACCGCTTGGTGATAGCACCAGCAACGTTTGACTTAACGACTTTGGAGTTCTAGATAGAGTAAGAGGTCATCAATTTCACTTAAAGTCATGTTCCACTCAGAGTGTTTGAGTGGAACATGATATTGTTTGGCTGAGCTACAAACTACACCAAGCAGCTATTAATCAGACAGCTGAAGAAACTTTACAGATTTATAATTTCTTGTTCTCTACATTAGCAAAGTCTAAATATTGGTGGTCTAAATCTTATAAATAATGTAAACTGACCTGAATTTAATAAAAGGACTTTTAACCTTGTCAAGGACAAAGACAGAGGACATGGCTGGAGTCCTAGATACCAAAGTTGAGTATGTCGGCAGAGGACAGCATGTTTTCTGTGATCCCTGAGGTCTACCCTGGCTTTGGGTGCAAGACAGCTCCACAGCAGTGTTGAAACACAGTACTTCTCACCTCCTGTCCCTGCAGATAAATATCAGCTCAGCTATCCTGTCACTACATCAAAGGACTTTTTAAGGTTAGATATCTTTGTGAACTAAGTGCCATTTGGTCCAAACAAAGCACCATTACAGGAACGCCCCTTCAGCAGCAGAAAACTGCTGTTCAAAGGCTTTTACTGCAATAAGTCATCTTGAAAAAGAAGCTGCAAGTGTGCATCTCCAGTTCTCTTTTATAAATTCATTACATTAATTCCTCTGGTATAATAGTATGCCTCATTAATGATCTCACAATCCATTAAAAACAATAACATGAATAGAGCAAATGTTGGAATTGATCAGGCTGTGCTTTGCTGCTTTTGCCTCGAGACACTTTTACAGAGGTCGGGTCCTCAAACACATCAACCAAGCAGTGTTGTATTCTCTTCACTGTCATCTATATAACAATGGTTGGGCTGTATAATCCCTGCCTCTCTGTTTTTTCTCCCCCCCTCAAGTCTCAGCGAAGGAGTGAAGGAAAATAAAAGCCACAATTCAAGGCTTTTTCACAGTGCATGCAGTCAATCACTATGCTACAGTTTTTCTCATAAGCTCCACTGATCTTTTTTTGCAGCCAATTCAAATCAACACAGTATGAAATTTCAATTAGTGCTAATTTCTTTTATATTCTGTCAAATGCAACCACCAGCTATCCCAAAGCTCAGCGGATACACGTTTATGAATGAGTGAAAAGGGCACGAGGAGGAGAGGCAGTGTGGGAACATTCACTGAAGAACAATCCAATGAAAGCAGGTCAGTGTGAAGCTGTTGATCCCCTGCCTGAATATCTCAGCCAACTTCTAATCACATCTGAACAAAGCCATCCATTCTGATTTCACAACAGCGGACCAATTAAACACAACCATGTCAGTAATCCTCTCTCATTAGGCACCAAGTGTGGTGGAGAGTATAGGCCAGCATCACCGACTTCTCTCCAAGGCAAACCTCTTTCATACCAGCGCAAAGCAATCCTGCAGGATCGGGCCTTATTTATTTATAGCGCCAGTGCCAAGTTCAGAGGCTTCTGCATTATTAATGATAATGAAACCTACCGAGCCATGTTTCACAGATTTTTTTTTTTTTAACAGCCAGTCTTCCTGGTGTCATGCTGTTGCATATTAAAGAGGTGTGAGATGTAAGGGACCGTACGGCTACAATGTGTTGTCAGCAGATTGTTGTTATGACAATTTATTTCATGCTGCTGTCGGTTCAGTTGATAAACAAGAAATGCTAAGCTGGAAAATGATGGAGAAATTCACCATGACAGTTATTGCTGCTGCTTCACTTAAAGCAGGTGTTATGGAATATTTACAGAGAAATAAGGAGAGTCTGTTTCAATGATTAATAACATACTGATTATAAAACCAGAAACTGCTATAAAATTATACAGTTTTCAAATCAAAACAAAGTTAGATCTTTGAAAATAATTTTTGATGTTTTAATAAAACCCTACTTTTCCAAGGATACAGTGAATTTACAGTAAATAAAACATCTTTAGGGAAACAAAAACTTGATTTATTTTTAATTTTGTGTAGCGCTGCTGAATATTAATTCAGTTTTTACATAGATATTTTAAGATGTTAATTTTTCTTTATTTCTAAAATTATATTTAAAAAAACTTTTTTCACACTTCTGTTTGAGGAGGAGCACTTAGCAACAGTCCGGAGGGACGTGGACGTATGTGACCTACATACGTCACTGGAGTTTGGCTACAGTAAAATTGACCACTGCAACAGTGTCATCATAGGGTTTGCCTAAAAAGTCTACCATACAGCTGCAGCTGATCCAAATGACTGCTGCCCTGTTCTCACTAGAACTAAGAAAGTAGAGCATCAGCCCTGTTCTTAAAGGGAAACACCGTTTTTTTGATGGTTTTTTTTACATTGGCACCTTGATTTTACGTTATTACATCATGTTCTACTCATCCATATTAGTTTTGTGTCTTTTGGAGCTGTTCCGAAGATATTCGGTTTTGTAATCCAAGTGATGTCGGCAATGAGTTGAAGGCACAAACTAAACTGTTCCTAATTTATTCTTTATGGTACGCCAGTATTCATAACATGTAGGCGAATCACTGTCCCTCAGACATCAGCGGATATATTTTTTATATTTTTTAAAAACAAAGCGGCGTGTGTATGACGTCATCCGCGAGCGCCGGCTACCATTCATTCTTCCTGTCCGCTGAACTGCTGCTAGTTTTACTCACATGCCTGGAAGATGTCTAGTGCTACTACCACAGATGATCTTGCTCTCGAAATGGAATTGAACAATTGAATAGAAGGGGTAGAGCGTAGCCGCCTGTGGCCCGGGCTGCCTGTCACATCTCCAGCCCGAAGTTGCCCATAGGAATATGTTACTTGGATTGCAAAACCGAGTCCTTACACTGGCTCAATGTAGATCAGAGATTAGACTTAAAAGTAGACCTTCTCTTAGTCTATAAATCACTGAATGGATCAGCACCTCAATACATAACAGCTTTCTGCCAATGTATCCTAGACCAGGCATCCCCAAAGTCGGTCCTCGAGGCCCGCTGTCCTGCAGGTTTTAGAGGTTTCCCTGCTTTAGCGCAGCTGATTATAATGATTACAGTAGAACAAAAGCATGTTAATCAGCTTTCAATTAAAATCAGCTGTGCTGGAGCAAGGAAACCTCTAAAAACTGCAGGACAGCGGGCCTTGAGGACCGAGGTTGGGAATGCTTTCCTAGACCACTCAGGTCTTGTAGTTCAAGCCTACTCTGTACACCCAGAACTAGAACCAAATATGGAGAAGCAGCATTAAGTCCCTATGCTCCACTTATCTGGAAAAAACTCCCAGATGACTGGAAAAGTGCTGAAAGCCTGAGTTTGTTAAGTCAAAGTTAAAAACCCATTTGTTTAAACTGCCTTTGACTGTAGAAATGAAGCTGCTAACTGGGGTATTATTATTTTAAGGTTGTCATCCAACTGTTTTATTTTATTTTCTATGTGCTTTTATCATGTTTTTACTTGCTTTTATTTTGCTTTTTTGTGGTCCAACTTTATTATTTTTCAAATAATTTAGCTTTTATTCTGCTTTTACTTTTCTTGTATTTTATTATCCAATTCAGGTAAAGCAATTTGAATTGTCCATGTACTGAATTGTGCTATACAAATAAAATTCCCTTGCCTTATAGTCATTGGCCAGATATGCCAAAGCTGCTGTTACAAAAAAAGATAAAATCTCTGCTTTAGTCGTTACTTAGCTGAGTTTATTATTATTACTATACCACTTATGTTAATACCTCAGTGTAGCTAATGACAAATGGAACCTATGATTGCTCTGCAAAGCAGCATAACAATAGCAGAGTAGGAGAAGCTGATGAAATGACGCTCACAGGCTAACACAAAAGAACATTTCTCAAAGTTTTTTTAAGATTCCAAATACTGTTTAAGATCAATTTGGAGCACTGTGGCTGTGTAACATGTATCAACTGAACATTTCTTTCTGAGCCCTCATGATTGAATTGGGATTTATTCAAAATTATTTCCAGTTTAAACTCATCATATTTGAATTTTTTTAC